TCTCCTCTCTCCTCTCTCCTCTCTCCTCTCTCCTCTCTCCTCTCTCTTCTCTCTTCTCTTTTCTTTCATCTCTCCTTACTCCCTTCCTTTCTCCTCATCTCTTTCTCGGTGGGAGAATCATGAGCTGAGATACACAACCCAACAAGAAAAAGCCTAATGATATGAAGATACCCTTCATGTTTCAAGTGTTTTCAAATGGTACATCACTTACATGCATGATTTTCTTGTACAGTACTGAAAAGCAAGAATAATGCCTATTATGTTAGGGTATAATTGACATTGTTTTTCTGTTTTCTGAAAGATTAGATTCTGTTTCACCTCTGTCTCCTAAGATTGAATGCCAAAATATCTTGTTTCTTCATTCAGGTACAAATTGATTTTAGTGCAAATGTTGAATATTTGATACTGCCAAATTTCATGACTAAGACATAGGTTGTAAAAGTCTTGTCTCCATTCTCTTGTTTTCTACCTTCCAATAATTAATTCTTCTCTTTGCTAGTCTAGCTCAATCCTTTTGTAATTTCTATCCATTTTCTCCAGGTTTCCCCTCCTGCCATCAACTCAGGCTGCACATCATGCTCAGAGCCTTGGGTAGTCCACATTAAAGCTGATGGGAAGAATGACACCATCCACCACATCTGGGGCATGCATGCTGCTCCTTCCTTCCTCTTTGCTACAACGGATTTGTCCTCCGAGCTGAAGATCAACTGGAAGAAATTGCAGGCGGGAGAAGAGAAGTCGATTCAGTTTGATTCTCCACCAAATTACATTTTTGGGTTTACTATACCCAATGTGAGTGTTTTTGATTTTAGGAAGAATTAATTTTTTTCAGCAGGTTAATAATTATTTGATAATTGACAGGTTGATCATGATTATTACTTAAACTACAAAGACATTATTTGTAGATTTTGCATTCAATCAATCATATTTTCTTTGTGTGTGGTGCATGTAAAGATGACTTAGTCACACTTTTTAATTTCAGTTGATACTCTTCAATGACCTCAATGATACAGGCAAACTGGATGGCATCCCTGCTAAAGATCGGCAAGTTGTTTCTATGTCAGAGTTTGAGTGGGAGGTGCAAGAAACCTTCAATGATTCAACTCGTGAAGCAGCAGTGATATTCAAGACTTCAAAGTTCAGGGGAGAGCTCTTGCCCAATGACACTCACATCAATATTCAGGTTGGTATTGTTGATATGTTGAAAATCAACTAATATAAGATACACTGCAGATGATCAACATTATATTATGTGTATTGCATTTGTTATCATCATTGAAAATTACGCTTATCTTAGATTTTTTTTTTTTTCTTTCTTTTTTTTTTATACATTTCCTAGTGATGAGTACTAAAGATAAAGAGTTTTTATTTTACTCACCATTTACACAACAATTGATACCCAGAATGTACAATAAATATGCATACTTTCCTCAGTCTGGAGTCATAAATAAGTCTAGATATTGTAAACTTTATATTATTATCAAAATCTTGTTAGCTTTGCATTATTCTATATTCAAGCACTAAAGTAGCATGCATTAATTAGATACATTGGACACCAGATAACTCAAGACTCATTATTGTCTGAAACACATGTTCTTGCCTCATCCTTCCCAGTATCTGGATCATCCCCTGAATGCAAATCAATTTTCAGGTACTTGATCTAGTTATTACTCCATCAGGAATAATTATCTAGATGATGCAGGGTCTTTATTCTACGGAACTTATATTTCTTATTCATTCACTGAAAAGCATATGGCAAATGGAGTAGAAACACATGGATACACTATGAATACCACTAAATGAACAACTTATGATGATTCAGTGAACTGTTCTTATTGTCACCAAGTATTGGCTGTCAGCTGCCATATTTTATTATGAAAACAAGAAGGCCATGGTTCTGGAATGAATATTTAAAAGTAATAACACGTTATAAATCTTGTAGCATAACAAATTCTATCTCCTTCTCTGGACTTATCTTTGTTACTGCTGTCAGTGTGCTAACAGAGATCATTCTCACTGCTATGATCACTTGCATATGAAAACTTGGTTGTGTAACACATTTTTTCATATATCACTGATTTTGATGTTTTGATGATTCTGAAGAAAAAAGTTGGATTTATATTGTTCTTTAAAAGTAAATTTCCTCCTTAAAGTTAGTTGGATTTTTCTTTGTTTGGACCTTTGTTTGCAGTTTGAACCTTTGGTACTGTGAATGATGAGGAACTCAACTATTTCTAGTCCATAAGGGGAAGTGGTGACCTATAGAATCTGTAGGATTAGGCCGTATGGCATTAAGATGTACCCACATTATTTCGCAAAGTTAAAATAATTTCCATTTTTTTCATCTATTAGATGGCAGCTTATGGTGTGGATGGTAGAAGCACGGTTTTACCGCACCTCATAAGGACACCTGAATCGGCTCAATTTGACATGGTGCTGGATCACCTCTTTCTGAATTTAAACTCAACTGAAGATTTGTGAGTTCAATTCTGATTTGGATTTGGTGTGATTGTGGTTATTCATATTGAATTTTTTCCTGTACTATAAGTATTTTAGATTATTTATTTATTTATATTACCTGATTGGATAATGGTTCCTCATAGAAAATATTTTATAGGTTTTGTGATTCTGACTTTTTTGGTTTTTATAGGATTTTTTTTATAATTCTCTGTCAAAAATGTCTTTTTCTTACATGTTTTTTACTATTGATTAATATATCTTTCAGGACCCTTGAAAAGAAGCCAGATTATTATCCAATGAGTGGTTTCGCAAAACCACGCTGGGCCCTTGATGTCATCTTGTTTAGTGCAGAGATAGCAGATGAAAAGAAAATGCAGATTTCAAAACAAAAATCTCTTGATGATGAAAATACTCCTGGAGTATTCCATGTGAGTTTATAGAGATTTTTATTCTTGCATTTCAGTTTACAGTTAGTTAAATTAGAAGTATAGTCCAAGTGTTACATATAATAGTGAATAGACATGTGGAGGATACTTTTTGGAATGTGTAGAATACTTTGTCTGATAAAAGATTAATACTTAAGACAATTAGAAGAAGATAGAACAGAGTGAGTGATTCAAGAGCATTTGTATGATAATTTCTTATTGTTCCTGTTTTGCTAAGGGAATTCATTATATGCTAATAGTTAGTATGCATACAAATAAGATATCTCTGTCTTTAATCTAGTCATTGTGGAACATGTGTTAATCATTTATCTTAAGATATAAACATAAGATTTTTTTCTTGGCAGTTGGATGAGATCACCACACCATTAACTGAGTCAGGAGGTCAGGGTGGGTACCTCCAGTGGCGGCCTGTTAGCTACCTCACCAGTGATCGAGATATTAATTTCTCCACCTTTCCCAATATTAATGAGTCATTCCCATTTCTTAAGAACATTACACTTGCAAAGTCCTCTTTGGCATATGCACTGCTTGGAGAGGACTTGTTGACAAGAGTCACAGCCACGACAACAGTTGCATTTGGACAGCCAAAAGACAACTTCTACACTGGCAGTAACTATACAACATGGTAAGTACCTCTTCAAAAAATATGGTGTGCTAATACTTTAGAGGCCATGGATCCTGAAAAGGTTGTGGAAATGTTAAGCTTATATCTTTCAGTTCTTTCTATCACAAATTGGTAAAAGAGCCACATGACAAATAATTTTACTTAATTTGAACTTTTCAATTGGATTTAGAATCTTGGAAGCATATTGCATGGAAGATTAGATTTTGTTTAATCTTACACTGATTTCTTTGTAATTGCCATACAGTGAAGATGAATTAAAACTTTTTTTTTCTTACAGGACTGTGGCTATGGGGCAAGGTTCTCCTCCCATAGAGACATTTTCAACCATGGTAATCATTGTTATTAGCTTGGGGGTTGGCATCCCTGTGCTTATGTTCCTCATTGGAGGCATTGTGATAGCATCACGCAGGTGTCGCCAGTCATCTGATCAACTCCTGCTGAATTAGGCCTGTCAGTTTTGTGTATAATTGCCTCACAAAGATTTTTATGAATTTCTTGTGAAATGGTCAGTAGCATTTTGTTGCTCTTTTTTTTGTCATTTGTTATACATATACATATATCAAAACTTATGAAGTTATGCTAGACTTAAATGATAATTCAGTGCTAATTAAGATAAGTGCCTTCTTAGATTGTTGCATGATTTTGTTAATGTTCTGACACAACAAAAAGTTTGATACAAGTCCAAGTGTTATAGCAGGGCAATCTTTAAGGTGTGATAATATTAGCATATAGAAGACATGGCACCCAAACTACTCACCAAGGGACAGGTTTACTATGCTTAAAGTGGCTGTTAGTGAGGTCACACAGTGCTAGTTGTGTGATTTCAACCACTGATTGTTGTGCATCAGCATTCCCATGGTTTTCATTTACAAGTGTAAAAAAGTATTGTATTCATCTGGCTTTGTAAGACCAAAGCTTAGAATGCTGAGGTACAGTGTGCATCTCTCCCGTACTGGCTAGTGTCTCTGGATGAATATAATATAAACCACAAACTGTCATCAATATACATCCAGAATGAATTGATACCAGATACATTTAATATGGTATTGGTACATATCACAAAACTACTAGAATTTTTAAACTAGCTATTTTATGAAAAAGTACTGAAGTTTTCCCAATTTTAGCACTTTGTATGTGGATCCTTTTAATGATGAATTTCTATATTTCATTTTGCATTTATGTAATTCATTGGGAATTTTCTTTTTATACAATTGCTTTAGATAATGAATTGCGATATATGGGGTTAAGCAGGTATAAGAAACAGTTACATGAAAAGAAAATTAAATGAGAAGCAAAAACCAGCTCTGCTGTTCCTAGCTCTAGTGACAGTATATGGTTCTTCTTATATGTAGGGATAAATTAATGGTGCCTAAACATTTTGATAAAAAACTAATATCAGGTATAGGAGATGCACATGGTCAGTGTAGGAGTGTTTAGCAGCCTTTACAGTGGTTATAGAATTTATCTTTTAACTTGTTTTTAGTTAATTTCTTAAATCACAAAACTAGTAATATTTAATGGGACCAATAATATATTATTGTATTTACTAACCAGGCCACATTGTTGCTAGTCAGAACTTTTACAATTTAGAATTAACCTACTGATACCGGGTGCATACACTGACTAGTTTTGTTTTGTCAGTTTTTTTACACATGGATGGCTCCACAAGTGCTTAATAACCAAGTAGTCAAATACTAGGCCTGTCTGATCTTACCTTTTTACCCCAATCTTTTGTTTTGAGAAAAAGGTTTTATTTCTAATACTGTTATTATTATTACTGACATTATTATAGATATTATTGGTATCACCAATAATAATATAACTAATAACATAATAGAAATAGAAATAAAAGTTTTCTTTGTTTGTTAACTAAATGCTTGCAGAGCCAATTATATGTAAACAAAACTAACAAGTCAAAATCACAGTGGACAATCCATGCTGGCACATAGACATGCCCTGTCCATGTGCCCCTCCAGCATTAATAGGTAAACAGATAATGTTTTTTTATATATGTTGAATACCAAAGTTGACCGAGTAAGCCTAGACATGTATATATGATGTGAAAATCACATCCCAGGGAACAGTATGTATGCATATATTTTTATTGTTTACAATCTTTCATTTCTAATTTTCCAAATGGAAATTTTTGAATATTAACTTGGTGTCATATGCTCAGGTGCTGTAATCTGACGGCTGTGTAGTGTAAAACAGTTCCTTAAATTACTATAATTGTCATTTAAAATAACTCTAAAACAAATGGTTGTAATTTAAAGAGTTGGTATGTCATTTGAAAGCACTTGTTTTAACAACCTGACTTGTATTTCTTACATAGATAATCATTGCACTTAATGATAGCAGAGGTTATTTAAATTTGTATGATATGGTTTAACTTTTAATGAGTATCACATTTAATCTGAGGGCTTTGTTGTATTTTCAAGAATCAGAGGTTGTAAGAAAAATGGTGGTGTATCCAACTGATATGATGCTAATTTTGTTTATCTGAAAAATATACATCCCATACCATGTGTTAATATACTCTGGTTGTTTGATCTCATGAAAGAGAAAGTAATGTATGTGGGAAAAAGATAAACCATTTTACTGTATTCTTTATGAAGTATTTTATGAGAAATACAGTATATTTTAGTACAGTTCAGAGTCCATATTTCTACTCATAAATTATTTAAAGTTTACCCCATATTTCTCACCTCTTCATTGTCTGAATACTCAGTAGAACTTTTTCTGTAAACTTTAAATTTTTAGAGAGATTCTGTTGATAAGGGTCATGTACTGGTAAGCATTTAGTTCCTCTAAACAGTAGCGTATTGGTTAGTATGACTTATTGGGATCAGGAGTGTTTTCTGAAGTTCAGATACCAAGCACTGGACAATGTAACCCATTATATTACAACATGTTTAATCTCCCTGTTGTATTTTTCCACAATATTTCACCATGAATCAGTGTGACAACTGTATGGATCTGATGTGACTTACATCTGAGGAAATGTTCACTCAGGGTGTAAACTTCTGCATCAGAAGCAGATACGGTTAACTTTCCAAAATTTCTTGAGGGGAAAAAATCCTCACAAGCCACAACTTTCAACACTCTCTCTTCCACTACAGACTATTAAACTTGCCTCACAATTATTTGCATTACATGCTCTTTATAGTTATTTATTCCCCCTTTCTTTTTGTGTTTCTTCCTTTTTCTTTCTGTGATGGGATTTTAGTGATAGTAATTATCTTATCTGATAATGATGTAAACTATTCTGACAGTATACAGATGATAATTTTAAAGTATTCTTAAAAATAAGAGGTTGATTTGTGCATTGGCATTTATTTATTTTTTTTACATTGAAATGGTACCTGGTAAACAAAGAGTTAATTAAATTGTTTGAAAACTTGTCTTTTTGTATGAGAAAAGTCTGTTAAATAAGTGATAATAGGTATGGTTGTGTATTTTCTTTGTTATTTTTGTAAGAGGTTGAAATGATGTACAGAGATGTCTACTTCCATACGGATTGCTAACCTGAGCCTTTCCCATTTTGAAATCAGTAACATGTTAGTGAAACCATGGATATCAACACATTCACCTCAGTATTATGCAGACAAGGCACTGTCAGTATATCTCCACACCCTAAAAAGTAGGCACACTTACTTCACTATTACTTATTCATCCAAGGGTTTAAAGATTTATGTCATATCCACTTAAAACTATCCACAGTTGTACTTACAATTGAAATGAGGAACAAATGGTACCTACTGTCTGCAAGTCTGTTATCATTATAGTACATAAACCTCAGAGGCTTCTTACTTACATTCCATAGAAAACAGGTTTACTTTGATTTACTAATAACAAGTCTAATAAGAATGAAGTTATAATTGGGAGAGTAATCATTGTCTAATGTTACATGTCTTTCTATCATCTGTTGCATTCATTTATAATGTAATAGCATAATATTTAGTAAATTATGAAAGAATATGTATATTCTGTAATAAAAATTATTATTTTGCATTTAATTTTATTGAATAACATTTTTGGGTCATGTATAAGAGTACACTTTATAATTAAATAATTTTATTGCTTTCAAATATACAAGAAATATATAAATATATAAGCATGAGTATATACCCAGCCAGTTAAGTAAATAGAACATCACAAGGTGACCTAATGGAAATATCTGAAAGATAGTTTCATAATAGGCAGAAAAAATGTAAATAACATTGCAGTTCCCATTATACATAAACAAAAGCCCAAGAAATTATAATTCATGATTGAGATATTTCTCAAACATAAGTAGAAATAGTAAGATCTACAGATTATACAGGTTTGTTTATTGTCCATGTATCTAATGAGAGTAGGATGTGAAATTATCTTTATTTTTAGAAAAGTGAAATTCAGAGGCATTCATAGTCAAATTTATGTTCTCCTCAAAAGTGATGCAAGTTGTTTAATCCAGTAATTAGATTAAACAGTCCTGACACTAGAGAAAGTTATGATATTCCATGGCTAAGGAGTCAATTTTAGGCAGAATTTCTCGGCTTAATAATAAATCATTTTGGCAGAATATTTTGTGATGGCATCTTTCAATGTTAATTCAAGATTTATTAAATTGTTTTTATTTTGGGAAAATGAAATGAAACATATTTTACTTTGTTGCCAAAATTTCATGAAATCAGAAAAAGAAAACAAAACCCAACAAAGTATGTTTTTGATATATATTTGTCTCTACTGTAATACAGCCTTTTTTGCACTCATTATGGCATCATTTACTCCTACACCATCATATGAGTTCCCTGCCAATACCAGTGGGATTTTTGAGTCTCTAATCAGTTTCCTTGCATTGATAACCATCTCAGAATGTCCTACAATGTATTGTGGTATACAGTCTTTTAGAATGTTGACGCTATGTCGCACTGGTGCTTCTTTTATCTTAAGCACTGATTCCACTTCTTTGAGGGCAATGTCTAAAAAGCTCTCTGGTGTTGGGTTCTCTCCAAAATACTGTTTGAACCAATATCCTCCCATCATTATAGTTAATATGGTTCTGTCACCTTGTGAGAATGTGCATGTGTCAAAAATTACACCGAGAACCTTACTGGGTTCTGAGGAAGGCACAAGATACCCAAATGCTTGCTCATTCAGTTTGTCTCCTGTATACTCAAGTGTTACAACAGCTACTGTAACAAATGGTATTCTACTTAGTACCATGCTCAAGTCCATATCAAGATCACTCACCACTTGGCTTAAATGATTGGCAGGAAGACAAGATATAACCCTCTCAGTTTGTATTTCTTCACCATTTGTCTGCACAACAAGATGCCCCTGACTTCCCTGAATTCCTAAAACTGGACTGCTTCTCCTAATCTCAACACCACCCTGTTCAAGATGCTCCGCAAGGGTCTTTACTAATGTCTCTAAACCATCCTGAAGAGACCAAACGGCCCATTTTTCTTTCCTCGCTTGCTGGACCAGGTCACTCTTTGCCAGCCCAGGGTCTGGTTTCTCAGCATTCTTCCTGTCTTTGATGAAGCCCTTTAGCACAGAGCCATGTTTCTGTTCAACTTCATGCATTCTTTTGGCAAGTGCCTTGACACTAAGGTCTCGAGCATTACCAGCAAAGACACCCCTTGCCAAAGGATCAATTGCATATCTTGCAACATCTGAGCCAAAACGCCTGTTGACAAAGCTGAAGAGACTTTCATCATCAGCAAGGACTTTTTTTGCTCGCAGATCACTAATTGCACTAAGAGCTAATGGCTTTGAGAAGGGGGGAAGCTTCGTTAGGGCTGTCTTTAGGCTATTTGGTAATTTGTGTAAGGAGCCATTGACCTGAAATTAAATAAATTATTTGAATCTATAAGAAATAATGGAAGGAATCTTATGCCACATTTACAAGCACTGAGGCCTTGTTCATTTGCCCTTTGAATAAAAACAAATACTCTAAGGTGTTATTTTAAAAGTTCAGATCATATAACAATATTTAACCCTTTCCTAAAGTTTACAGCAAATCCATCTAAGCAAAGAAAAGAGGAACACCATCTACATACTTTAATCATCCTGTTCTTTGCAGATGGCTCCCCATAATGGACACTGCGAACTTTATCTCTTAGGCCCAGACTCTCTGCTAATGCTAAAGTGTTGGCTCCTGCATTACCAACCACTCTGTGTGTATGTAAGGTTAATTAGTTATATTCCTAGGAAGTCTACTATTATTTCAAGTCAAGTTCAGTGAATACTTATTAGTCACAATTTTTATCTCTTAATTTTACTAAGCCTGTAATAAAGCCTCTTTAAAAACTTCATCTTTATTAGAAACAGTTTCAACACAAATTCCTGGTCTTTGAGAGAAGAAAAGTACCATGAAAAACCATATGCAACTAACCTAAGTGTTCTTGGTCCGCCTTCATACACAACACCATCACTGTGCTTGGTGGAATCAATCCATCCTCCCAACCTATGCGAAGCTTCTAGAACTACAATCCTAGAGGAGGGGTTGACGGTCCGCAGGTAATGAGCAGCTGCCAATCCACTGATGCCTCCTCCAAGTACTGTCACTGTCATTATGTTGAATCAAGAATGGTTGGAAATACCACCTGTAAAAAAAAAGTAATAATAATTTGAAGTTTCAGGATTTTATATTTTGTTTTTTTTTAATCAATAATTTGCCAATTTATTCCTTCACATCCTGAAAAGATGTGAGATGGTTTATGTTTCTTGGGCATTGTTTTAGTATTTTTTTCTTTGATTTGGAAGACATAAAATTTTCTATTGAAAATGTCAAAATAAGAATCAGCAACTTTACGGTAAAAGTGAAGTTTCAACCAGCCATCTTTTACATGGCAAATAATATATGCAAAAAACAGAGGAAATAAATCTAAAACTTTTCTCTGTGTACTTTTACCACAAATAAAAAATTGGTCTTATTTTACACACAAGTGTCAGAGACCTCAAAAAGAAAAAGATATAGTTTCAGCCAACTATTAAAAGGTAAATTTTGCATGTAATGGGCAGAATGGCCAAAAATGAGACATTTGATTTCTGATATTACCTTCCCAAGTTGATATTAACAAAGTTATGTGACAAGTGAACGAGAGAAAAAAATCAAAGAAAAAACTATCTACACTGCATACCAGAAGGGAAAAGGGGAAACTGATGGGGGGAATTTACTCTTTCTTTTCCCTTCCCAACTCTCTCCGTGATAACAAACATACAAAGACAAGAGTTAAAAAATTAATCTTGGGTGTACAAAGTGAGCCCAAAATCCAAACAGATAACAAGTAAAGGTCACTCTGGATACAATACATCTATCTAAGACTTGCTTTGAATGTTATACCTGATGATCGCCTCCACATTTATTTCAAAATTACAAATCTCACCAAATACACTAATAAACGCACATTAACCTCTGAAAAATAAAAGGTCTTCTAAGGTTCCGTAACACCTGTGCATGATGATGTAATTTATAACTTCTGAGAATTGGAGCCTGACACGCACCTTTATCCTACCTGTTTGATTGTCTTGCCTCCCTCCTCTTCTTCTTAATATCTGACGTCTCATATATTGCACAAATTGTACGTAACTTGCTTCAACTATCAATAGGTAAAAGCTAGAAAAATTTCTTAGGGCATGGTCTTCAATTATAAGGACCATGCGTATAATTGTTTATTTTCTTTGTATCCTCTTTGTGGATATATATCCATACTAGCGTATATTTTATATGAAGTTTGCAGGAAAATTTAATAATCACTATTCCTATATAGTATTCGAGGGTAATATATTAGATTTAGGGATGAGAGGTATAAATATTTACCTTTTTTGACAGAAAGATCCTTTTCACTGAAATTTCTTCTGCATTTGCATGATTTGTACATGATAAATGTCATGAGAGTACTGACTCGAGTGAACACAAGTATGAAGAATATTAAACGTCAAAAAAATGCTGAATGAAGGGTTGAAAACAACTTTAAGTGGGAATTATCGAGCGTGACGGAGTGATAACTGAAGGACTGGGGACTCCATTCCCATAGGTAAAGGGTTCTCGACCCCATCTTGTCCAAGCCAAGTATTATTATGGAGATATTTGATTAATACAGACGAGCGAGCATTGGCGAGGGTAACTGAAATTGTATATTTTTAAATAAGATTTCGCTCGGAAGTCATGGTGTTGATTTGTAAAGTATCTTGCACAAAGCCGGTTCTGTTGTGAAATATTACATGATACTTAACAGGAAATCATCTCATGTTTGTATCAGAATGGGGGAAATGGAGAATATATACTTACACTGAGCAGTATTTGCAACATCAGTTTGTGTTACCTACTACTGAAGCTAAAAAAATAATTTTATTATTGGTATATTGGTGGTTCCCTTCTCAAGAATTGTAATTATTTATTCTTACAAATTATTATTAAGAGAGCAACGGGGAAGGAATGGATAAACTGATATCGGAGTTGGTCCACTTGGAGGTGGCAGAGCAACAAAAGGTTCTGTCGGCTCTAGTGACACCATTATCACCTGAGAAGCAGCTGTCTCTCCTGCTTCCTGCTGTCTCCAGAGCCTCAGGGTAAGATAGCCCCTTTAACCCCCTTATGACAGAGGATACTGCATATGGTTGCTAATGCCATAATGTTAAAGGTTAAGCAAGATGAAAAAGATTCACTGTGATTTGTTGGTGAAGCTATCATCTTTATGTAATATTTAGACAAGGTAATTGTTTGTTACCCATAAGTACATTCACTGAAAATTTGTTTTTTAGACATCATCTTTTACTAAGATTTATTACTATGATTTCTAGTTATGTGAAATGGCGCCTAGCAGTGACACTAGCCTGGCAGGATACCCCAGACTTATTGGAGCTTTTGCCTGCCGAACTGCAGGTTATGGTTCTTCAATATTTGGATGGTCCAAGTCTCCTCACTGCTTGTCAAGTATGCCAGGGATGGAACAGGTATAAAACATGGAATTTAAACTAGTAATCCTATTTCTGTAAGTTTAGCCCCCTTATTAAATTCTTATCCCTGGTTCTTTCCTTCTTTCCTTATTCTCTCTTTTTTCTCTCCTTCACACTAGCCCCCCTCTTCCATGCTTCCTCTCTTCATTGCTTCGTCCCCCTCTTCCTCTCCTCTCTTTTAATCCCCCACTTCCTCTCATCCCCCCCTTTTCAAGTCTTTTTTCCCTGCTTCTTCATTACTTCCTCTCATCCTCTCCCTCTTTCCCTCTCACCCTCTCTATATTTCCCTTTTCTTTTCCCTCTTCCTCATTTCTTTTTCTATGTGACTGTAAATTTACCAGGGCAAATCCTCTATTTTATATTACAGAAGTCATTATGACTTTTCAGAGTATTGATGAATCATGGGCAGCTATGGCTAAAGAAGTGTCAGCAGCTTGGGGTCAACATGGATCTATTATCTCAGGGAACAAACTGGCATGAAGTCTATGTGTCATCTCTACGCCAACTCACATCTTTAAAGAATGGCACAGCTTTCGTTGAACGATTCATGCAACTCCAAAACTGCAATAAAGCTGTGAAGGCTGTTGATTATCAGGATGGATATTTGTGTACAGGTATTTTATTTTCAAAGTGGTTTTCAGTTGTTTGATTACTCATTTGATTCCCATATCTTGAGTGGCCTTATTGTATATACTTTTAAATGTAAATGTGTATGTAATTATGAGGTGTATCATTTCAGTGCATATCTCTGAAATATTTTATTTCCTTATTTCATTTCTTAGAAAGCTTAGGAAGAGATTACCATATTTCCCCTCAATTTCTGTTGAGGGTATGCTTATATATGTACAAAGATGACATTTTAAGATGCATACTCTTTTCAGTGTCAGAAGAAGACTACGTAAATATTTGGCAGCTAGACTTGAACATCCCTATCCTAACATTCCCAGTTGAACGAGCAGTGTCATACATCAAGTTCAGACCCAAGCAGTTACTTGTTTGTGGTCATTTTGTCGGTATATTGACTTCATGGGACTTGAGTGCTATGGACAAACAGTCTAGTGTAGTGTACAGTGGTGTGAATAACCATTCAAGTGAATATCAACTACTCAGATGCAAGTTCAAAATGCATGCGGGGCCAGTATTTTGCTGTGATTTTTCTAATGAACTAGACCTTTTGATAAGTGGTGGTGCAGATGACTGCATAAACTTATGGTGTCTATCCTCAGGATTGAAAGTAAAATCCTTACCCCATCAGGAGCACTGGGTACTAAGGGTCATCTTGATGCCTGTCATCACTCACTCACAGCAACACTGTGTCATCTCGATGACTAGAGACTGTGTCAACAAACTTACATGGGATGCACATTGCAGTGAAAGCTCAGGAACAGCAGATGTGGGTTCAAGGAAGATGGGCAGCATAGACCAAATTCAGAGTAAAATGTGTGTCCGTTTGAATGAAGGAAACCATAACTTCTTTACCCCTGGTCTTCATTGTAGCCAGAAATATATTGGACTGATAAAACAAGACATTGATGAAAAGCATGCTTGCCTATGTGTGTATGACATAGAAAATTTTGACCTTAAGTATAATATTACCTTGAATTTTAAAGTGAAAAAACTCCTTGCACTTGGCAACAGATATGCCTTACTTCTCACTGTAGGATGTGTTCTGTATTCCTCAACCTTAATGGTGGTTGATATTGTCACTGGAGAAAGCATTGGTTCTCACACCATTCCACATTCAAAGTAAGTGCATGTGTTGAGTTTACTACTTTGATTTTGTTTGTTTTCTACTACCATTTGTTTTTTTCTTTTATTGTGTGACTGATATTTTCTCTTCCTCTCCTGATTTCTCCTACTCCACCCATTTCTTTTCTCTCCCTTTTTTCTCTCTCTCCTCCATTTCTCTCTCTCTCCTCCTTTTCTCTCTCTCCTCCATTTCTCTCTCTCTCCTCCTTTTCTTTCTCTCTCTCTCTCCTTTTTTCTCTCTCTCCTCCTTTTCTCTCTATCTCCTCCTTTTCTCTCTCTCTCTCCTCCTTTTCTCTCTCTCTCCTCCTTTTCTCTCTCTCTCTCCTTTTCTCTCTCTCTCTCCTCCTTTTCTCTCTCTCTCTCCTCCTTTTCTCTCTCTCTCTCCTCCTTTCTCTCTCTCTCCTCCTTTTCTCTCTCTTTCTTCTTTTCTCTCTCTTGCCTCCTTTTCTCTCTCTCTCCTCCTTTTCTCTCTTTTTCCTCCTTTTCTCTCTCCTCCTTTCCTCTCTCTCCTCCTTTTTTCTCTATCCTCCTTTTTTCTCTATCCTCCTTTTCTCTCACTCCCCTCTCTCTCCTCCTTTTCTCTCTCTCTTCTTCTTTTCTCTCTCTCTCCTCTTTTTCTCTCTCTCTCCTCTTTTTCTCTCTCTCCCCCTTTTTTCTCTCCTCCTTTTTTCTCTCTCCTTTTCTCTTTCACCTCCTTTTCTCTCTCTCTTTTTCTCTCTCCCCTCTTTTTCTTTCTCCTTTTTTTCTCTCTCCCCTCTTTTTTCTCTCTCCCCTTTTTCTCTCCCTTCTCCTCTCCTCTCCCCCCTTTCTCTGTCTCTGAGAAAGAATATATGTAAATTATACAAAAACACGTCACTTTCAGAATGACCACACCAGATGGAGCACAGCTCAGACAGTCGATGGTCGGTGATGTGGAGTGGTTGGACGGTCTCAGAGGTCAGGTGTGTCCGAGTTCTGCTACACCAGCTGTCAAGGAGGATGAGGGAGGCGAGGGAAGAGCAGCCGAAGAGCAGTATGGCGTGCGCGAGGACCTAGGAAACCTGGGTTTAGATGCAAGAATTCAACAACTGAACATTTCTAGTGCACCCGAAAAGAGTTCTCTGACGCTGGAGAGGCCGAGTCGTCTCGTGCTGGCAGCCGGCGTGCAGAGCGAACCAGGCAGTTTGTTTACGCTGTGGTGGTCGTACTCGCGTGCAACTACGAAGTGTAAAAAGGAGTAGTATGTGTATTGCGTGTTGCTTAATGATGTGATATTCTGATTTTTAGTACTTTTTCTGCTTTCTGGCACATTTCATTGCTTATTTTATGGGGATCTGCGCGTGCGCGTGTTTGATCTGTTTGTATAATAATGTTATACTGTTTAGTTTGTCAGTTTTATAGGTCTGATGTCATAGGCGTTGGCCAGTTTCTATGCACTGATGTCACATTTTACAAGAATTGTAGTTTTATTGAAATGCTTATTGTGACAGATCTTTTCCTAGAATATTTCATGTTAGTGTATACGACCTCAATGAACGGTGAGAAATAGAGGGACATTGATTTTACTCTAATAAGAATTAAACTATTTTGCCGGGATTTTAAGCAGGCTGTTGCTCTAGTCCACAAAACGCTCTAAAAAATAAGTTGTACATGCCAAAAATGATACATATAAATCATTCACTTTTATTCCCTTTCATTCAAATTCCTATACGGTCAGGCGCGATTTTTTTTTTTTTTTTTTTTGTATGACATAAATAACCCAAGTGAAATAATAGTAATTTTCCATTAATTAAACCATACATAGTTTTAATTGATACTATTTTGCTTTATCATGTGCACGGGTGTGAACGATCATTTAGTAGTACAATATTCCATTTAGACGTTTCGTAGTATTTTTTCATAGAAACCCGCATTAAAGGTGCATCATGGTTAAAACAAGAAAAAGGAATGACGTGGTAAAATTAGAAAAATCGCTATCGAAAAACAAAGGGTACACCCCACCCGCGTGTACCTAAGTATACCGCACTCAAGCATTCCACTTTATATAAATTGAGTAAAACACATTGCCACACGGAGATATTAATAATTATCAAATTACGAAATATCGATATTTGTGTTGAGGACCAGCTGGTAGGTGGGCGCACTCGTGGCACCTACACACGTAAAGTCCGTTTAAAAGTTCTTACTGCTACAGTCTACACTTTCGCATGTATCAGGAAAATTAATGAGTGCGATTCAATACCATTGCAAGACTGGTAATACTATGAAATATTTTTACGAGTGAACTTTGTTTTTTCCGATATTTTTTTTCCTTCATACTTTGCTAATTTTAATTGCAATAGCATGTCAAACAAATGGATTACATATATGGATTTATGCATTGATGTTCAACATGAATTATTTTCCCATTTCTTGTTTATTCTACAAGAATTGTATTTTTTACTGTCAAAAGTAAAGAAGTATGTAATGGTACAGTAGATAACAGCTTGGACTCATCCGGACTGTATATGCGTTTATTTATCAGTTTCAGGTTGTGTAAGGGTGTGCAAATTTCTATAAAATCGTGTTGCATTTATGATGTGCTCGCATAATACTTAACTGAAATTACATACCAGGCCAGCAACTACTTCCAAAACTAAACCCTTTCAGATATCTTATCATCTCTTCACCACATTGTAAGTCTCTTGTTACGTATTGAGACGCAGCAGCCCTTAGTGTCTGAAGGAGTCCTTTTGTTTCCCAGCATTCTGATCGCAGTGACAGTACAGTCTTTGAATGAATTGAGACTTCGAATCCGTCTTACCCTCTACAAAAGTTATGGTATTAAGCGGACACTCGAAACGGAATTTGAAATGTTTGACAAGAGTTGACTGACTGTACCTTGCGGACTAGTACACCGGGTCGAAAAAGAAACTTTACAAGGCTTTTGGTAGATTTTTTTTTCTTGAAATGCTAAGGCAATGGGAAGATTGTTTTAAATACACCATGTTAAGATCGGGTATAATAGTGGACAATAAATCTAGGAGTATATGTTGTAAAAAACAAAATGACCGTTGACATTTGATATGTAAATCTGCCGTATGGAGTGGTATTTAATTACTAAAATTTATTACATGCATCACTGACTTAATATTTTCACTATTACATTAACATTAATCGTACCCTAGCCATTAGGACATGCGAAAATTACAGACATGTAAATCATGAGGTCTATGTATTATTTTTACGGACTTTGAATGATGATTCGTGGAATACGTAGTTTATTGCTTTCAGCTGAATTTACCAATTGTCA